CAGCATGAATGTTGTGGGAAATTAACTGTATAACAGCGCTACAGGCCTTGTAGGCCCCTGGCTTCTAATATTTCCCTCCATTTTTTTCGGTTCCTTGCTTTCTCTCTCTAATTTCTCACGCCTATTTCTGACAAGTCGTGCTTTACTGCTTCCAACCATTTCTTCTTTGGACGTCCTCTTGTTTTTCCCATTCCTCGCTCCTTCAGTATTGTTTTAACATTTAGATTATCTAGCATTCGTATAATGTGATCAAGCCATCTAGCTCTTTGAGCTCGTATTTTTGGGGTAATTGCTGGTTTTCCATACATCCTCCTTATTTGTTTATTCGTTCGTCTTCTCCAAAATATTCTCTGCCGTCTTTATTCCTCCGAAGATTTTTCTGAGTACGTTTATTTCTCAGATCTCTACTTTCTTTTTTTTCCTGCTGGTTCATAATCCACGTTTCACTGGTATTCATCAGTAGGTCTGATTACTGTCTCGTACACTCGCAGTTTAGATGTTCTTGACACATAGCTTTCATTAATGAATTTAGTAATCCTATTGCTCTGCTTCCCTTCACTAATCTTTTGTCTATCTTTTTTTCTTCTTTCCCGTCTTTGTTATGTTTACCTCTAAGTATTCAAATTCTGACACTTTTTCACAACTATAGACAATCTCTGCTTCTTTCATTTTGATATATTTGTTATTATTTGTTATATCTCCTCTCATCCTTAAACGGAAAAGAATGAGAAGAACATTCTACTTTTAGGAGGAAAAACATACGAATGACACTATTATAGAATAGAAGCAAACCGAATAAAGTTCTTTCAAAGTACTTTCCCTTTGTCCATTCTCGTACATCTTCCACGATAGGGATTTTTCGATATTGCAAAATGGTTCCATTTGATAAAAAGAGTACTAAGTTCCTTTTTTAACAATACTATCAACAGTCTTGTTACAATTTGTCAAAACTAGAAATGACTTTGTAAATCCTACTTTCGAAACCGCCACTTGATGCGCAGCGGAATTACCGAAAATTATCGTAATATTAGAAGTAAACTCAACCTGTAAACTACATTTAAAATCAGCTAGTCGAGTCCGGGGGTTCATCCATCTCTATCTCTCCGTCTGCTCTCTGCGCAGATGGGCAACATTTCGAAAGCCATTCCTAGTCTTGATGAGTAATACCAATAATTATTTTACGCTTAAGTTACTGTGTTGTTCTTCACCAATTGTTTAAGTCCAGACTCAAAGTTATAGGCTTCAGAGTATCTCTTTGAGAAACAGCCAAATAAAGGGAATGTTTTAATGTACTTATTGTATATATTTTGAAAACTGCTTGTGAATTCGAGCCTGAAAAGTCCAATAAAAAGTTTATTTATAATAAAAATATAGATGTAGCGTTTAAATTTCCGCCCTACATTTACACACTTCTTGGCTCATACGAAATATTCTTCAGTAATACCTGAATAGGTTTCCATTGAACAAATTTTGTAAATACACACAACAGTCATTCTATTACAAAATGATGAGAATTTTATCAACGGGAAGTTGTAGAGGAACTTGTTTTCTCCGACTTATGACGTGTTAGCTGATAAGATCTGATTTCTATAGAATGTACTAAAAATCGTAATTTTAGCAAGGTGTTAAAATTAAAACAAGAAATGCACAGTAATATTTTTTCTCTAGTAGCGATATTTGTATATTTTAATAGAAAGACCTTAATTTTAACACCTTTGTGTTCAGTGTTTATTTAAGTACAGAAATAATTGCTGTTGGTTTTATTTTAAAAATTTGTCTTTATTAAATACCTACAATACAATACTTACTAAAATTTTCAGTATAACTATCAATAGAACTACTAATAGTCGCCCATTTACTATTTGAATGTGTACATGACAAGATGAAAAGGATTGTTATAATTTCCAAAAATTAGGAATGGTGAATCCAAAAAGAAGAACGAGATATGACAAAACTAACAGATAAACACAATACAGTAATACCCCGAATTTGCACGGGTATATGTTACTAGCAATGCCCTAAATTGGACAATCTTAGAATTGTACGGAAAATATTGTCCACTTCTAGCATTGTACCCCTTTACTGTACAATTTTACTGACTTTGTATGAAAGAATTGGTGTACAATGTTCGAATTTCAATAAGTAGCGCTGCGCCAAAGTTTGGGAGATTATGACAGATATCGTTTCATATCGAATTTAAAGATTATTCCCCATTTGTTATCAATGACTCAAGACAAATACCTCAAGACAAACAAACATGAATAAGGTTATAAATCCATAATTAATCAAGGTTTCTAACTGCTGGATTGTAGGATTAATTTATTTTAAATTATCAGGCACATTTCTTGAAAATCTCAAATGTTTCCCAAATATCTTTCCTGTATTATAGTGAATGTATCTATCTATTGAAGCTTTGAAATGTTTCACTAACATTACCACTCTGTTGTAGAACAACTTATTCTTATTATTTATATTTTAGATTGACACAGCATTTTATTACATTGTCGTTTCGAAAAAGAACGACTATATAACTATATAAATAGAAAATATAAAAATATCAAATAATTAACAATAAATTTTTGATTTAGTGTCCCGCTTGTCAATAATAATTGATTCGAATTGATGAGAGTTTCGATAATCATTTTTAGTTTTGAATATTTCGGACATTGTACAGTATAATGCTAGAAGTGGATAATAGTTTCCGTACAATGCTAGGATTGTCCAATTTCGGGCTTTGCTCGTAACATATGTGAATTATTTTTAATTGGGACCGGAAGCTAAAAAAGTTATCAATTTACCCAAAAAATTTTTTTTAAATCTTGGGATATACAAATATAACATCGCCAATTGAAGTTATTTAGACGTAGAAGACTTCATAAAATCTAACAAAGTAGTTTGACTACTCAAAGATTTTTATCTTCCGCAAAATTTCTTTATAACAAAAGAAATCATTTCATCTATAGGCAGGCGGTAGAGATAACGGCCTATAGGAGGCTCATGACACGAGTGGACAGAACAAGTCTGTTGCAAGTGGCATGCGCCTACAGAAATGTGTCTGCGTCAGCCTTGTGGACCATCACTGGATGTGTTCCGTTGCATGTTTTGGCGGTGTAAAGAAAAGAGCTCTATGAGAGAAGAGGCCCAAACCTTACTGTGGCCGAGAGAAGACAGGAAAATAGCATTGTGATCTGTAAGAGTGTGTCGCTCACAGATCACAACTTGGCGAATTTTGATCTGCACCCGTACAAAATTCAACTAACTCAGGAACTGGAGATGAACGACTATAGACAACGACGTGTGTTCGCTGAATCGGTTCTGGAGCAGTTGGAAACTGACCCTAATTTTCGTCGAAAAATCATATTCAGGGTTGAAGCTCATTTTTGGATGAATGGTACCTCAGCAAAGAATTGTTTAAATTGGGACGATACCAATATAAATGAAATCCAAGAGCGTCCAATGCATCCGGAAAAAGTCACTGGTGAGGATTTTGGGCTATCGGTATCGTTGGTTCATATCTATTTGAGAACGATATTTGCTAGGCAATCACCGTCAACGGCGAGCGAGTTGATGATTGCCAACTTCTTGTGACCTGAATTGGATGATACTGATACGAGTGGCATATGGTTTGAACGGGACGGCGATGCTTTGTACCACACAGCTTATACCACATTGGACATTCTACACGGGGGTAGTCATCTCACATGAAAATGATATGAACTAGCCACCGAGAGCGTGCGATTTGACTTTGTTGACTTTGGTGGTTTTCTTGTGGGATTTTCTTAAGTTTCTGGTCTATGGGAATAATAAGCTACAAATCACAACAGCAGGCAACTACGTAGGCTACGCATTAAATCAAACAATATTTGTAGAGAATGAAACAAATGCAAGAGTTAAACTTGAGAATTTTAAACCAATAGTTCTTTCACGTATGTGAGTGAACCATATACATTACATCAAAAACACAAAATAAAAGTTATGGAAGTGAATTATGTTAAGAAGGATTGCTGGAAATACCAATATGGATACAAATAGGACTGAAAAAATTACACTGATAAATCAAGAACTTTTACTAAAAACAGTAGAAAGAAAACAATTGGGCTGGTATGGACATTAATCAGTAAAAACATAAGATAGAAGAAAAGATAAAGAAAAAAGACAGAAAAAGTGGAACAGTGGCGGTACTGTAACGCCACCTGTTAACGTATTGACAAAGCATGCGTTGTTTACTTATGACAAGCCTGTCAAATTTAGACCAAATATCAATAATAAAATATAAATTAATATCATTTGATAGTAAATTAAATTATATATAAACTAAATAATATGTTAAATAATAATTGCATTTATATGAAATTATTTTAAAACGAGAATTATTATAGAAATTTAAACATGATTCAATATTGTTATTAATCGTATGACTTTTATTAAATTTTAGTTTTTAATTTTTTACTTCTCATTTAATGTCTATAATTTGTTAGTTATCAGTTCATGCAGTTCTTAATTTAAACCTGCTTAGAGTAAATATGTGATGACTAGAAACGATTTGATCGAGAGTAGTGAATCGATGTCAAAAACCGCAATTCTATAAATGCTACCCGTGACGGCGCCATCTTGTGGCGCTAGTTCTGTGACGCTCGCCTCAACATTTTACTGTAGAGAAAAAAAGTAATACAACGCAAGTATAGAAGCTTTGTTTCAGCAAGGAAAAAATGGAGAGATAAAGTAAACACAAGGAAAACTGTATGTATATCCTTAAAGCTCTTAAAAAAGGGCTAAATTTGACGCAGTTATTAATAGATATAAGATAATAAGACCATCAGCAATTAATTTCTGTGAGTAAATGTTACATATAAGTCACTGGAAATTGACTGGAAATGAAATAAGATTCACTCAATAATTCATTAAATTTAATTCAGAACAAAATTAAATCTTTCTAGTCAATTTCGAAACAAGTTTTTGTATAATGACACATTTCTTACTTAACTGTTTATATTGTTTAGAGTATACGTCGGAAGCATCAGTTTCGAATTGAAGGAAGACACCATCCGTTCGGCTTTCCTCCCTTTTGGTCCCATCAAATCTATAAATATGTCGTGGGATCCCATCACGCAGAAACACAAAGGTTTCGCGTTTGTCGAGTACGAGATCCCGGAAGCGGCGCAATTGGCGCTCGAGCAGATGAACGGTGTCATGATCGGCGGTAGAAACATTAAAGTCGTCGGAAGACCGAGCAATATGCCGCAAGCGCAGAACGTTATAGATGAAATACAAGAAGAGGCCAAACAGTATAATAGAATATATGTGGCGTCCATTCATCCGGATTTGGTAGAAGAGGACATTAAAAGGTAAGGAGTTTTAGATGAAATTATTTTATTACAATCTGTTAACAGTTATTTTAATTTTTTTACACTAACACTTCTTTGTAGTATCGGAGGTTGGCTATCATCACAGCTATCCGAACCTTATTCGCGGCTGCTCTGAAAAGATCTACTGAGCTGCAACTATCCCACCCTCCGAAAATTCTTCGTCTTCCTATGGATCTTTTACCCTTGATTTTACCTTGCATTATGAGTCTTAATATATCATATTTCGCACCTCTGGTAATGTGGCCCAAATATTCCAGCTTTCTTGTTTTGATGTGCTTTATGACCTCGCAATCCTTTTGTAGTCTTCTTAACACTTCTGCATTTGTAACTCGTTGGGTCCATGGTATTTTCAAAATCCTACAGCAACACATCTCAAATGATTCCAACTTCTTTTAGACTAAGGCTCTTATTCTCAGCTCCAGATGAAGGTCTCAATTAACAAACATTGTTTTCATTTTTATAAATGCTTTGCGCTTGCAATTTCAATGCATGTCCTCATTTCTGTACCTTGGTCATTGTTTTCATTTGCCCAGGTTCTCAGATATTAGTAGTTATTCACTCTTTCTACTTATTTTCCCTCGATATCTAGCCTTCCTACTGTATGTTGCTTAGAAATAATCATGCACTTGGGTTTCTTAACGTTCATTTGTAATCATATTTTATACTGACTTGATGTAATCTATTTACTAAGCGTTGCAGTGCTTCTAGACTGTCTGCAAAAACAGCGATGTCGTCTGCGAATCTTATGTTGTTCAAGATTTTTCCGTTTATTGATATAACTTGTTGTTCCTCTTATATTGCTTTCTTAAAAATAGCTTCGCTGTATACATTGAATAAAAATGAGGACAGCACGCAACCCTGTCTAACACCTTTATTAATTTCTACAGGTTGTGTATCCACATTTTCGATTCTTATCTTTGCTTTTTGATTTTAGTACAGATTGACAGTAACCCGTATATCTCGACTGTCCACATTCTTTTCTCAGCAACAGTTATACGATTTTCTGATGTCGTACTCTATCAAAAACCTTTTGATAATCTATAAAGCAGACATAGAGACCCTGGTTCATATCTAGTCGTATTCGCGCGAGAACGTTAAAAGCGAACAGAGCCTCTCTCGTTCCTAGTCCTCTGAATCCAAACTGGATGTCATCTATATCTTCTTCTATTTTTTTATACTCTTACATGTATTATTTTGAGAAATATCTTAAGTGTGTGGCTTATTAAGGAAATTGTTTTGTACTGACAGCATTATGTCACATGTACTGACTTTTGTAGTGTTACAAACGTGGACAGCAACCAATCTTCGGATATTACTCCTGTTGTATATACTTTGTTGAACAGATCTAAAAGTATATGCAGTGTTTATTCGTCAATGTATTTAATTAGCTCAGTGGGTATCTAATCTGGGCCTACTGATTTTGCGGTCATTTCAAATGCCTGTTGTAATTCACACATTTTTATTTTCGGTCCTGTTTGTTCCTGTGGTTTACCCCATAGTGTGCTCGCTTTTTGATATTTGTTAGTTTTCTTATTTTTTTATGCCTGTTAAAGCTGTCGTATTTTCTATCATACTCTTCTACTACTATGTATTGAACTGTTAACCACTTTTACTAGGCCTTTTTTATCTTTACTTTAATTCTACTTTGTAGTTCTTGATATTTTGACTCATTTCTCCCTTTCGCTTCTCGCCTCTCTTCCATTAATGCTAGAATTTCTGAAGTCATCCACTTCTGTTTTTTATTTGTCTTTTCAGGCTTTAAATTTTCTTCTGTAGCCTTTGTAGCATTTTTCATTGACATCTTCTGATGTTAAGATTTCTTCTCCTACTTCTGTTAGATTTGATTTGTTGGATCACTTTTTGATGTATTTCTCTTTTTCTTAATTTTGTATAATCAAACGTTGATTATACAAAAACTATATAAACGTATAACACTAACACTAGGAACTAATTAATTTAGAGTATACATTTATGACTTTCATTAGGAGCTTATAATTCGGATTAACGGTACGATTTTAATTGTTTATTGTACTGTTTATTGTATTCTCATTAATAGAGCTAACGTAATTTTATTTTTTTTAGTGTATTCGAAGCCTTCGGACCCATCATTTACTGCAAACTCGCTCAAGGAAGCACTGGACACAAACATAAAGGTTACGGATTCATAGAATACGAAACAGCCCAAGCTGCCAACGAAGCCATCGCCAGTATGAATTTGTTCGATCTGGGAGGACAGTTCCTCAGGGTCGGTAGGGCGATAACTCCGCCCAATGCTCTTTTAGGACCTTCTTCTGGCTCTAGCGTTTTACCCACAGCAGCAGCAGGTAAGATTTTTATATTCATTTATAGATCATAATAAAAAAAATAACCTCCATATAAGACTGTCAGCAACCGAAGCACTCTAGATCGACATAATCGTGAGACATATTGTATAAAAAAGGAGCAATATTAAACATAATAATAATAAGAGTGAAGAATGATATACCACAAGAGGGAAAGATGCAAAACACATTGAATATGCTCATAAAACTGTTCTAAAAATTTTAAATGAAGACTATTAAAAGTATTTTGGTTATTGAGATACACTTCCGCCAAAATACGTTATTTTTGATTAATTTATTTAAATGTTTCTTATTTTCAGTTGCTGCTGCAGCTGCAACAGCCAAAATTCAAGCTATGGACGCAGTTGCTAGTAACGCCGCTGCTCTAGGATTACCTACGTTAAATAAAGCACCAACAGTTCCTACCGTTGTGACCCAACCGGTAGTCTTGCCAGTCATAACCCAGCCCGTTGTAGCAGGACCGACAGTTGTAACAACGGCAGCAGGTGTTCCGGCAATCATTCCTCCACCTGGTATCGCCATACCGCAAATCACACCAAATAACACGATTCAGCCGGCGATTGTTACGCCTTTGATCACTCCACCACAAGTAAGTAGAATATTTGTATATGAATGTGTTGCCTTGACACGCAAAATTGAAGTGTTGCACATTTTCACTTAAGAGCGTAAGCGCAAAATTTGGGGCCCAATGCTTTTTAAATGCAATCATTTTTTTCGAATCCTGAGAAAACTAATAAATATTTTTGAAAAATTTAAACGCAGAATGAAAGATTACATTATTACCGAGGGCCGAAAGTCCCTTCGAATAAACAAGAAGTTTTTTTGAATGAGATATTTGAAATTAAAAATCACACTAAATTTTCTCTTCTTTTTTACTCCTGTAACTTTTAAAATAAACATAGAAGTTTTCAGGGACTTTCGGCCCTCAGTAATAATGAAATCTTTTATTCTGCGTTTAATTTTTTCAAAAATACTTATTAGTTTTCTCAGAATTCGAAAAAAATGAATGCATTTATTTAAAAAGCATTGGCCCGAAATTTTGCGCCTACGCTCTTAAAATTGCGTTTTATTCACAATAAAAATAGTACATAATTCTGTGATTGTTTTGAAAACCTCAATATATAGAATATTTAAATAAATCATTATCAGTAAGTACCTATATCTTGTTTTTTTTTAGATCGCAGCCCCCACAGTAGTCACACCGATGATCCAACCTTCCGGCAGTTCAGCAGAATCGATGAAAAAGGTCCAGGAAGCTCAGTTAAAACAACAGGAACAGCTGCAGAAGAAATTGCTGGATCAGAGCGAGCCACAAACGTTGCAACAACAAGAAAATATGTCGATAAAGGGCCAAAACGCCAGGCATTTTGTGATGCAAAAACTTATGAGAAAGGTGGATTCGAGGGTTGTTATTTTAAGGTGAGTTAATTGTTAAAGTTTTACATTTTTCTACTGAATTTCATAGTGTGACTGTTCTGCAATATAAGATTTTATTATGTTGAAGAAATGGATAAGGAATTTTTAAATTTCTTTGTTACTGGCGCCGAATCCTGGGCATCTTACTCGATTTATTTTGTAGGATAGTAAAAAGATCGAATTTGTCCTTTCGGAACAACAGTAAACTGATTATCGGTATTGTGACCTAGAAGAAATAAAAAGAATAAGTATATAGACAGTGTTTTATGTAAAACTTAGAGGTCGCTAGTTAAATGAATTTAGAAATAATAATGGAGAAAAATTTCAATATTTTGACTGTAAATAAAAGTATCGAAAATAGCAAATATACAATTGTGAATAAATTGCGAGAATTAGCTAGCTTTAACTCACTACTGTTAGCTGTACAAAGAACATAGACTCACCTTTTGTATATTCATATAGGTATATTCGTAGCCAGTGGAGGAGCGTTGGTAACACGTCACGACGCTAAGGAACGCCAGATGCCGAGGCTTCCGGTACACTCGATGTTTTAAGTACGCTGTGTCGTGATGAGGTGTTGTCTTGAGATGGTCAGAACCTTCTGACCGTTAGGTGGTTCATGGGACAAGTGACCCTCATAAATCAGCGCTTTTGAATACCAACAATCTAACTTAATGGTCACAGTAATATGATACTTTATAACGTTTGTGTGCTGGCGAAATCATTATTTCCAAAACAACAAAAGAAAGTCGAATCTTTGGACGTAAAAACAGACATGTGTTTAAGCCAGTTTAACAATGAGATTTTACGAAATAACAGAAAATAATATCTTTTAAAGCAAAGTAGTTAGGATATATAGCATTAAATTAGATCTTATTACAGTACAGTAAAAGAAAATAAAAAAAATCTAAAATATTAAAATAAATAACTTTCCCAGATAGAAACAATAGTCAATCTCTTCTACCAAATGTTTTTGGGGACATTCTGAAACATACTCTATAACCCGCATATAGAGTTTCTCTTTTTAATGTTACAGATTTGTTGAATGCATTTCATAATGGCGAAAAGCAGAGAAAAACAATTTATTTTTTAAGTGTCACAAAAATAGTGGTACATATTTTCAACGAAGCATTATGATATTGCTGCAGCAAAATTGCCGACTATCCTACCTCTATTGGATCGAAATAAAAATTAAAAAATATTTTTGACCTTTAGTTATGGGCAGTCCGTCTGAATGTCTATATGCGCGAATTAGTTGGCAAAATACAAATGAAGTTGGAAAAACTTTAAAAAAAACCCATGTACTTGTAAACTATTACAGCTAGAGTAATTTTGATAACGCAGTCACCTTCTAAGTGATAAATATGTAAAAAAAATTTATTAAAAAACCTTTATAAAAGGTAATATTTATAATTTATAGGTATATATATTTATATATACCTTTTATAGGTAAATATATACCTTTTATAAAGGTTTTTTAATAAAAAATTTTTAATATATGGTATACAGCCAATTACAGGAACGTAGATTCCTTGTGGATTGATAAATATATCTTAATAACATGCATAGTACACTTTTACTGTCACCCCTCCGTTTAATAATTAACTTTCATTTACTTTTACAGGAATATGGTAGGTCCCGAGGACGTAGACGAAATGTTGCAGGAGGAAATCCAAGAGGAATGTAGCAAATTTGGATCGGTAGAAAAAGTAATTATATATAACGAAAAACAGTCTGAAGAAGACGATGATTCCGATGTGATAGTTAAAATTTTTGTAGAATTTACGGAAACATATGGTGAGTATTCAAAAAATTATTAGTTTATTAATTATTAAAATTTGATTTCATATAAAACTATAGTAACAAAATACATTTGCAAAACAGTAAAATATGGACATTACGTGTTAACAAATTTGGTACAAGAATGAGGTTAGCTTTTAGCCACAAAGTCCACTTTATATTGGCTAAAGCGCCATCTTTGGAGTTTTAGTTTTATAGATACTTTTAAAAACCTCAATATCGATGAGGTCAAAGTGAAATTCTGTGACTACAAAAAGTAGTTGTTCTTCTTGTGTCTTTTTCTATGGCTTCTTGATTTACAGTACACAACAAAGCTTCAATTTGTCTAATACAAGGTAAAAGTTTTAATATGTTAGGTTATTAGTATTATAAATAATTGGTCATACATAAAACAATCCTATTATCGGGGACAAATCGGGACTGTTAGAAACTCTCCAGAAGTGGTATGCCATGGTCTTCAATCCATTTTAAACTCTTTTTTGATATATAACAACCTGCGCCGTCCTGTTGGAAGACAAAATCTTCTGATGATGTTAAACGGTGTTCCATAATCGGTTAGAGAGATTCTTCTAAAATATTCTGATTCTGACATGCTGCCCCAGATTATGACAGATGGAGGAAATTTGACTTTTCTCTTCAGACAGTCAGGATGGAAAGGTTCAATTTCCTGCGAATGACGCGACTCGTACTGTCTCAGTACACACACTTCAAATTTGGACTTATCACTCCATTGTATTGAATCCCATTGCGACTTAGTACAATCTTTATGCTCTTTTGACCATCTAAGTCTATTTTTCTTTTGTTTAATGTTAAAAGTGCTTTTCCTTAGCCTAAAATAAAATGAAATTTAGTAAAAACAATTCGTACTAATTTTTGCAACTATAAAACTTACTTTGTAAGTACCAAATCCTAATTTGTGGGCCTCTCGATGACATGTTGATCTAGAAACATGTCTTCCAATAACGTCACTCCATAAAACGCGTAACTCCATATTTTGATCGTCGATTTTTTACTATAATGTTCCTTAACACGATCTGCTTCGGTTATTTTACTTTTTCGTACATTTCTAGGTTTTGTGACGACCGAACCTGTAGTTTTGTATCTTCTGACTATATTTCTTACACTATAGCTTGACAATTGCAACATATTCGCGATTTCGAATTGGATTTTTCAGAATTAAAAAATATAATAATGATTGAACAAATTTTCTCATCGATAACTTTACCTCGACCCATTGTACAATCCACAAACGGCAAAAAGCTTTACAATACTATAAAATACATTTGACATTAACTGACAATATTATTGTTTTGTTGTCATTTTTCCATAGCTACCTCTTGATTTAACGTAATTATGAAAAAATCAATGTATGTTGACATAAGTGAATACATAGCCACAGAATAATAAACAATCAGAATGCCCACTCTGCTTAAAAAATTAAGTACGCGCATCTCGTTCGCGCAGACGGAATCAGTCATGTTTTAAACAGAACCAGTGCAGTGTGCATAGATAAATTAACCCGGTTTAATTTATTTACGGCCACTACAGACATAATATGCACTATTTTATTCGTACTTTTAGTTGAAGAATAGATTAAATTATTTCAAATGTACTAAATTATTAATCTCTAAAAATTTAAATTACAGTTCTGTCGTAGCTTGTCACAAATTTCTCAATTCGAGTATATGTTTCCGTATAAAATATGGCGTTCGCGTGCTGACAAACTTCAAAGGCGAAATCTGAGAGTGTGCATTCTGGTTGTTTATTATTCTGCGACATGGTTACGTGAATTTTTTTTATTGTTGAAAATAAATAAAAAAAACAAAGAGTATAATTTGTTTATGGTAATCGACTTAAATGCAAATTCCATAGTGGCCAACTGATATGGGAAGGGACTCATACTTATTGGATATAATTAAATATTGATAATGTATTTTAAAGTTTTGGAGAACTAAATTTATTTAAAACATGTAGTTTATAATTTGTATATTAAATCTACTTTTTGTTTCAGCTGCAGAAAAAGCGAGAGACGTATTAAACGGCAGGTATTTCGGCGGAAGAATGGTGCAAGCATCCCTCTACGACCAAACGTTATTTGATCACAGTGATTTCTCCGGTTAGCACGTTTTATCCCAAAGACTGTTTTAATAAGTGAAAATTAATATTTTAAAGTTTTACGTTCTTAAAAGTCGTGAAAATATAATTTTATTATATTTTTGATTATTATATAGTGAAAAGTGATTTAAGAATATTGTTTAATAATATGTTAATTTATTATTAACTCAATAATCTCTGTATATTTGATATTTTTATGTACATTTTCTATTTAGATGTAAATAAACTGATTATAGTTATTAAACCTTACGTTTTTTAATAGATTATACCCATCTATTATTCCTGAGGAATCACGAGGAATTATAAACAATTTACATCAATCAGAGTGGAATATCAATTAACAGAAACAATAGAAATATAAAAAGAGAAGTATGGCAGGGATGTGCTCACTGTCTCCAATAGTCTGTAACATGTATTCACCTTTGATTTATTTATTTTCTGTATACTTAAACATAATAAGATAAAAACTGAAATGTTATGACCAACCTTAAAACTAGAATGCCAATAAATTCCACAATAGTGGAAGTAGCAATGCAAATAAGAGAGAATCAAAATGAGAGGCGATAAAAATCAATAGAAACTGCAAATAGCAGAAGAAAACAAAAAAAACGAATGATATAACTAGGAATGTAAAGTAATATCAGTAAAACAGGTGCAAGCAAGCATTAAATGGCTGATAACGGATAAAGAGGAAGACAGAAGTATGAAAATGAACGTTAAGAAAATTATAGGACAAATAAAAGAAGATGGGTAGACGAAAAAATTCAAAAAAATATAACAGGAAAGAACAAAAATATAAACACGAAAAATTTCTATAAAAATATTAAATAACAAATCAAAAATACAAAGAAAGAAATAATAATAATAATAGTTGTAATAGAGGACAATGAATATAAGCAGGTATTATATTATATGCACAGATCACTACAGATAACTTTGAGAGAGGAATATATTAGAGAAGAAATAAAAGGAAGAGGAAACAGCGGGCGAACAAGTAGACATAGAAATCTCAAAGGATCCAACAATATAGGAATTGGAGGAAATAATACAGAGGATCAAAAATGGAAAAGCTCCTTGTAAAGAAGAAAATAACATGGAACTTATAAAATACTGATGGGAAGGCATGGAGAAAAAAGGGAGCTGATGGAAAAAATACCAACACATTGAAAAATAAATGGATAAAAATACATAAAAAGGTAGACCAACAAATTTGTGGAAATGTGAAGAGCAAATACCACAATAACACAAAAATAATGGAAAAAGCAAATGAATACAAATTAGAATTGGGAATGATATTTATCGACTTTATCAAACAGTTATTTGATTCGATTAAAAGGAAAATACGAATGATACTACTGGAAAAATTAAACATCCCACATAAACTTAGAAAAGTAAATATGACAATGAAAACTACCAAAATTAATATAAAGACGCAACGAGGAGAGGCAGATGAACTATTTATAAATAAAGGGGTAAAATAAGGATGTGCTTTATTGACAACATTGTTTAATCTAGTTTTAGAATATGTACTACTAAATATAAACAAAGGGAACCTAAGAATAAAAGGTAGACAAATTATCGCCTACGCAGACAATATTGTTATTAGTGCAAAGAACAAAAATATAACGAAAAAAATCATAGAAAAAGAGCACAATGGGAATAATATTAAATCAAGAAAAGACAAAATGATGGCAAAATGGAGCACTTTTAGTGAGAGCGCACACCAAACTGGCATGTCAAGTAGCACTCGTCTAGCATGTTAGTTAAAATGTAACCAATGAAAACGAATGATTAGAATGAATGACGTCACTGTCATTTTGGTGTGCGCTGAATCATTCGTTTTCATTGGTTACATTTTAAGTAACGTGCTAGAGACTCGGTGAACGCTTTAAAAAGTGTCCAAAACATAAATACCTTTGTTATTGTTTATTGTTTTGATACGAAGATGCACGAAGTTCATGATTTCTTACGAAGCCTCACGAAGTTGAGCTTGTGTTTGAAAACATCATGGACATATGAAAACATTTTCTCCATTTTGTGTGACAAGCAAATTTTATTTTAAATTGTTGAGAGTTATTTACTTACTATTTTAGTAAAATGTCATACTATTTTATCAAAATAATTATTTCTCTTATAGATGGGAACAAAAAGAAATCATAAATATTTAATTTTAATTAAAAAAAGAATTATTGTCATTAACTTATAAATGAGCACGCCGCTGTTGTGATAAACATACCTTCAACCTTGAGCCGAGATCTTTCGGACACTCGATTCTATAGCGAGAATAGGGGACTGCCTATATATTATACGTCATTGGTGCTAGACGCGTGCTACTTGCCAGTTTGGTGGACGCTCTCCCTTAAGAAAGAATTGGGGGAAATCATAAAAAGTATTGTAGAAATAAACAGTGAAAACAAATTCTACTAAAGAATTCGGGAATTTGAGCAGGCAATAACCAATGCTTTACAAAGTAAAGCATTAGTTATTGCCAACAGAAGAGATACCAACTACCAGAGGATCCACGGCCAAGATTTAAAGAAATTAGTAAAGAATTAAAACAGCTCATAACAGAGAAAATAAATGTAGATATTAAGTTATAAGTCAAGCGATAAATTAAATAAAATGAAAATAATCAACAAACCAATATATTATGTACAATCATCTACTAATTTGGAATAGATTTTATCAATTTTCCTCCCAAGTATCATCTCATATTCTGATCTTTTTGGAGAATTTTCAATATCTTAGTCATTAGTGTTATTTTTCCTGCTTCGCGAATGCATTTAATGTCCAAAGTCATATAAATCTAAACAAACAACTATAAGGGAAAAACAAAACAAGACGAGGAGCCTTCAACACAGCAAATTAATCAAGTTAAACAAAAACTACCAGAACAGCAAAACCAGACTTGGGAAGATTATATCCAAAAACTAGACCCGCACAAACAAGAACTGTGGAAAGTGTAATGATTTCAAAATGTATTAACAGATGGAATGGAAACAGGAGGAAGTATTGACTATTATAAACAATAAAGTCATACCTAACATCTCTTGCAAAATTACTCAAAAAGGTCAGTATTTATATAATTGTTAACAGGATTTGCCTGTATTAAAGCTGTCAATGCAACAAAATATATACATATCTTCAAATAAACTCTTGAATGCAGATATTTTTGTAAAGCACATATAAGACAGTGCTTTTTTAGTTTAAGAGTCTTTAAAATGAAATGTTAAAGGGCTTAGTTTATTTTATCATGAAATACTATGCAAGATGTTTGAAAAAAAGGTACTTAGACAAATACTAGGCCCTATAAATGAGAACAACAGGTGGCCAATCAGATACAATTATGAAATATATAAAGAACCGCCTTTATCTGAGTATGTGTGGCTTCAGCGTCTCCAATTGGCAGGAGATGTATTTAGGATGTAGGAAAACAGACTTTCAAAAAAAACTGTTAAATGCAAGGGAAGAGACGTATTGGAAAACAGATAAAGCGATGGGAAGATGATGTTGATGAGGACGCCAAAAATCTCCATGGCAGTCGATTGTGGGGGAGAATGGCTACAAACTATAATGGATGGAGAAGTTTGATGAGAGAAGCCAGGACTCGAATTGAGCTGTAGATCCACAGGATTTCTTTATTTTAAAACTTTACAAACACTATAAACTAATAGTAATTACATGTAAAGCACTAATTAAGAATATAAATGTACACCTAATAAAATAAATAAAAGAGAAGAAAAGAGTGCATGTATTTTATTAAACCTGGTGCTGATGAGAAAGCAATGTCTTACGTTCACTGATTTTTACATTATTAAAGATATCTATATGAGTCAGTCTATTAAATATCCAACTGCTCCCTTGACTCAATAGCCTTAGTTATATGTTCAGAGAAAATACATAATTGCTACCATTGATTTGACACAAAACCGTGTTGGAATTCGCTAACTCTTAACATGCATAAAGGATGCCTTTTCCGTTTTTATGTATTGGAGAAATTGTTGCCACTTTTAATACATCTGGAAAATATTCCTGTTCAATTGACATATGAACAAAAATGCCAGAGGTTTAGCTAAGGGTTCTGCCAATACCTATAAAAATAGGGTGGTATTTCATCAGGACCTGTAGATTTTTTGGGTTTAAGTTTTTTAATACTATTAACAACATCAATCTGTGATATATTTAGAGATAAATGAACCCCACTCACTTCTATGAGGGTGACAATGTGGATGAATAGAGTATGCAAGATGAGCAGCTAAATAGTCTAACCATGCTGTAGATAAAGAGAATTCTGATCCATGATGATATTATAAATAATGTCTATGAAAGGATTATGGAAAAATTTATTTAGTTATAGAGCCAGTTTATCTTAAAAATGAATGTTTTGTTTTCAGGTATCAAGTAAATCAATTAAATGTATTCTGTCATGTTAGATTACTTGGTAATCCAACACAGATGTAAATACTCCAAAAATTAATGAAAATGAGCACTTAAGATATATTATAGATAAAGCAAAAAACCAACACTTGACATGCATATAAACTATTTCATAATTCTTTAAATATCAGCCAACAATTGGTCTAGTTTAAACAATCGACCTACAAATTAACTAAACATTATAAGGTTTTATTTTTATAAGGAAGCTTTATAAGGAAAAATTATAAGTCAAGGGGTAAATTAAATAAATATAATTAAAATAACTAACAAACAAATGTATGTACAGTCTAACTACAAATTTGGACTAGGTTTTATCATTTCTCCTCCCAGGTATTGTCTCATATTCTGATCTTTTTGGAAAAGTTTCAATTCCCTTAGTCATCGGTGTCATTTTTCCTCCTTTCGCATCGACTTCTATGGCATTTTTCTTTTTCATTTGCATTATAGCTAGATTTTTCATAACCTCTTCGTCTGTGGGGGGGTCCTTTCTTCTCCCTCTTAGCCAGGCTTCCCATTCCGCTGGCATTTCTTGCATAAAATCTTCCTTTTTCGGCGGATCGAACCAACGACTAGCTCGTCTTTTTCCAACAGATGGATTAGCTGGGATTTCATAGTATTTATTTCCAAAATAGTCTTTTCCTATCAAAGTTCCACTAAATTGTCTAGGTTTTAGGGAATTTAAAAAATTCCTAAGTATCATTGCTAAGATACTGCGGCTTGGCGGTTGCGACATGGTCTATAATTTTAAAACAATTTGTTTCAATAATTAACCTAAAATAATATTTAAAACCTCTGTATTTTTGTTATTTTATCATATTTTTATGTCAAGTCAAATCTGCCAATGTCAAGTTTTAGTTACATTTCATTTTGTCAAAACAAAACCTACCTGCTTTCTCACGCATGTCAACAACAATACATTTTAGGGAGTCTTGAATACAGGTCCGAATACAAATTCAATTTATGTATTTGTGATCATTTTTTATTAATTTAAGAATCAATCGGTCGGGTTAAGAATCGGTCAAACAAATATGAGAACCAAAATGTTATAATCATAAAAAGGATAGTAATACTCTTAACTAAAAGCAATACTTTGGGGACTAGTGCCTCCTGCATTCGAGCTCCTGGATTTTTCCTCCTATCCTTAATTTAAAGAAACCAGGTCCAAACTGCAATGTCCTATTCAAACTCCAAATTCCTTTCTTATATCCTAACCTTCAACCGCATAGAGCAGCATACGATGTCATTGGTATTAATAAAGTAAAGAGAAAATTCGAAGAGACGCATATATGCAATATTAACATCAGGCTATTTGCTTTACTATTTAGAAGCTGAAGATATATATCAGCTTTTTTGTATACAGAAAATTTACGAAAATTATTATAAAACTGAATAAGAGTTCAAAATAATTCCGGCGTATGCTGTAACAAGTTCACATAGAGATGTAAGAAGTGAGTATTTAATACAAAGTGATTGCAAGTAAAATGAATAATTCAAAAGCAGATAGTTTTAGAGTATTAGAGATTAGTTTCCCATGTGGGACTTTATCAAATGCCTTCTCGAAGTCAATGAAACATGCATACACAACGCAGTTGACATCCCTGGCTCTCTGTATTAGAACTTGCAAACTAAAAAATTCTTCCCTCGTTCCGAGTCCTGCTCTGAATCCAAATTGAACTTCACTCAGGTGTTCTAATTTGGTGTATATGCTCGAGTGAATGATATTAAGAAGTATTTTAAGTACATGGCTCATCATTAATCTATGTTCTTTACATTTTCTAGCGTTGGCTTTTATAGGAAGTAGAATGAATATTAAGAGTAGCCAGTTTTTTGGTAAGTAACCAGTCTCTTAGATGTTGTTGAATAGCTTCGTAAGAGCTGTGGTTTGCTGTGCCTCTAATAGCTTTAAAATTTCACCATGCACTTCAGCAGGTTCTGGTGATTTCCCATCTTTAATAAGCTTAATGGTCATAGTTACTTATACTTTTGTTTTTTTCTGGACCGTAGGGATTGTTTATTTCAGTCTGACTTATTGCTGCATCTTCGAATAATTCTTCCATATATTCTTTCCATCTTCGTAATTTACCTTCAATGTTAGTCAAAATCTGACCTTCAATGTCTACAACTATGCCTGTATTGCGTTGTTTTCTGGTGTTCTGTACCTCTTTAATTTTTTGTGCATAGGGAAATCATCATGTTTACGTTGTAGTGTTTTAATTTTCGTACATTTCTCCGTCAGCCATGCTTCTTTTGCTTATATTAACTCCTTTAGTTTAGTCTTATGTAACTTTTTGTATTCGTTATCATTTTTACCTTTTAATTTTCTTCGCTCTTTCATCATCTATTTTATCTGTCATCCATTCTTGCTTATTTTCTCGTTTTGATTTTAGATACTCATACGAAATTGTGGTAATATATGTCTTCATTTCGTTCCACTGTTCTTCTATACCTCTAGTAGTGTCTTCACTTATTTTCGCAAAATTCTTATTAATATCTGTTTTTACTTTTTTCTGGATGTCATTTTCTTTCATAGTAGTCTTGTATCTATTTTGGGCCTCATTTTCTTATGAATTATTTTGAGTCGTGTGAATTATTTGATTATTTGCAACCAATAGACTCAATGTTTTTGTTGGGGTGATAGAATTTCTAAACCTTTTGAATACAGGGCAAGATCGCCGGAAGAAGAGACACGGGCTGAAGAAGAACATCCTGGCTCCGAAATCTCTGAGAGTGGTATTAAGAGGCATCCGCTAATCTGCAAGTTGTCGTAACCAAAGGTATTACTGCCAATATGATTGCCAACGTTCTATAATTGGAAAGAGTACTAAAAGAAGAAGAAAAAGAAGTGAAATTCTAGACAACAGAAAATTCGTAGAATGATGTCAAACCAACATGTATTGTATATTTTAAGTGTTTATATTTTATATATAATATATTTGTATGTATTTTCAATCAGCAACAATGTCTTTTTTGAAGCTCTGAATATTATAAAATAACGATAATTTATGTAGATGAAAATATTGAATTTTAAATTTACGTTTCGATTTCAAAGTATCTACTTTCTATTTGCAATTGAACGGTAAATTATTAATAAACAGTCTCATTATTTACGTAGTGGGATTCCCAACACCAAGATGCCAAAGAAAAATAACATTCCTATACACAACATAATAATTGAATATAACATCGATTTAAAATCAATTTAGGAATGGGTGTTGACATTTCGAAGTAATTAATGAGTGTACATTCTCTAGATAATTACATTTCCAAAAATATTAAAAGATGATCATGAAAATATATTTTTTATATATCTATTTTTTCATAATTACAGCTTTTCAAATTAGTATTGTGTTACGTCCTGGAACCTGAAGATCATATTAGCAGTGAAGTGATGTCATCTATGGCGCTGTTCGGTTTACGGGGAGCGGGGTTAGGAACTAGGTAAAAATTGGCATGGCCGACCATAGCTAGAAGAAAATATACAAATAGAATAAAAATATTAATAGTTTATTGAGTGGTAGTAAATAAACAACCCTATTTTGTAGTTAAAACAGTGATGGCATTTATAGTGGCGTAAGTACATATAAATTAATGTTTCCTTTTACTGAACGAGACAGGTAGTTGGTTCTAAACTTGTGGCTCTGACATTTCCTTTCACTGCAGTCATGAGAGGTTCACTTTAAATATGGTCTATATGTTTTTAACTCTATTTATTTGACGATACTTTTAACATTATTAAATGGCATAAAAGGTGTTTAAATAATTTTGAAATTAATTTTTTGTTAGTGACTTTAAACTTAGGACAATTCTGTAGTTTTTGATTTCCCCACTCTGGAATCTAAACAGTTACAAGTAATTTATGATTTTTTAAAAAAAGGACCTAGGAGGATTCTTGTATTCATTATTTATTATGTTTACATGCCCATTGAGAAAGTTGTTAGGTTAATTTTATTGAAATTCTTCAGAGCAAGTGTCTACAATTGACACTCCTACCTGAATACTATAAATGATTAATATTTTATAGCATATGTTAATATTTAGATAATTATAGTGTTTGTAGATATTTTTAGGAATGTGCCAATAAGTGCTGAATTTTAACTATACTTAAATTTTAGATGGGACCATCTTTTTTGTTTTTATTCTTCAATTATTTTACAGATCTAAGGTTTTTTATATTATTGAAACAAATAATCAAAACCTTTACTTGATTTACATAAATATTGTAGGTATTAATGTCCAGTTAACTTTAATTATAGTATAATTGCCTATAACTGTCAAAATTGTGTTTTTTTTTAAATTTTCCATACATTTGATTTTAAATGTGCACTTCTCTCATTGTGTTAAGAACTAATTAGCAAAATTCCAATATTATGATCACTTAAAATATAATCAGGAATAATACTAATGATATTGTTAAAATATAGGCCTATAATTAATCAAATGCAAGATAACACTATTTCTACCAAGAACAAAAGGTAAATATGAAAAAAAAAGAAGGTAATTGATAAAACAGTCAGGAGTAATCTACAAAATGCAACAAAATTAATATCACACTATAGAAAATAAGATAGGCAAAGGATAGTTAATTGATATGATATGTATGTACAATATAACTGATATTTTGTAGAAGCTATGTATTGAATTGCTAGTTTACTAATAAAAACTGAAACAAGAAAATATGGTGTAGAAATAGTTAAAGACTAAAGAAAAACAAATATTACTTAAGCTCTTTTATATCTTTTTAAATAAAGTTCAGATAAATTCAATTTTTTTTTGTCTTTAATTTCGAAAGATATTATTTTTTCCTTATATTAATGACATTGATACTCTGCCCTAGATGCATTTTTCTCTGTATATGCTGATGATACTTGTTTCCTATTATCTGGTCATCTTTACTCACAATATCAGAGAAATGTATATCAGTATTATTACATCTAATAAAACAATTTGATTAACATTTTCATATTTTACTTAATCAAAAGAAAACTGGCATTATGATCAGAAAATAGAAGAAATTATTGAGAACTGGTCTAAACAGATTAAAACTCAAGAAGTATATTGGTAAGATAATCTACCTGTATGTATCTGTAAGGACCTTGTTGATCATCTTATAGCACCTTTAAAAATAATCTTAAATACTAATAAATTTTCTACAATGTTAAAATATACTATCATTGTTCATATTTTTAAGTCAGTTATCATTAATGATGAAAATAATTACAGACCAATTAGTATCTTAAATTCTTTGGCAAATTATTTAAGTATATTTTGTATAGCAATTTATTTTAACATTCTTATGGTTCTTTCTTCCCTAAAAATACAAACGCTAAATATTGCAGTGAATACAGAACAATATCACTAATAAGTCACATTCTTAAATTATTCTTAAAAATAATATATGGTAATATAAATAATAACTGGAAGAAGGAATAGATGATAGTCAGTTTGGGTTTAGAAACGGACTAGGAAGCAGAGAAGCGTTATTTGCTTTTAATGTGTTAGCTTAAAGATGCATGGATATGAATGTTGATGTGCATGTTTGTTACATTGATTTTGAAAAAGCATTTGACAAAGTAAGACATGAAAAAAACAGTCAAAGTTCTAAAGACAAATAACATAGACCATAGGGACTTATAAATAATAACAAACCTCTACTGGAATCAAAGAGCACAAATCATAATAGATAACTAACCCAGTCCAAAAATTGAAATCAGGAGAGGAGTTAGGCAGGGATGTATTATGTCCCCATTACTATTTAATGTATATAGTAAAGCCATTTTTGAAGAAGCATTACTATCTCAAAGTAAAGGAATAATAATTAACGGAAGATCTATTAACAACATAAGATATCCAGTTGACACCGTGATTATGGCAAGCTCTGCTAAAGAACTTGAATTACTGCTAAACAAAACAAACAGTTTCTGTGAAAAATATGGACTAAAAATGAATATAAAAAAGACCAAATACATGATAATAACTAAGAAAACAAATATATGAACAAACATACATTTGGGAAATGTACCAATAGAAAGGGTTGATAAATACAAATATCTAGGAACCAGGATTTCGGTCAATAATGATCAAACAACTGAAATAAGAGCCAGGATAGAAATAGCAAGAAATGTGTTTGTAAAAATGAAAACAATTCTCTGCAACAAAGACCTTAGATTAGAACTGAGAGTAAGAGCATTGAGATGCTACATGTTTTCTATACTGCAATATGGACTTGAAAGCTGGACATAGAAGCAAGAACACATGTTACAGTCCTTTGAAATGTGGTGTTATAGGAGCATGCTTAGAATAGCATGGACACAGAAGAAAACTAACAAGGAAGTATTGCGAGAAATGGGAACAGAATGCGACATAATAAACACAATAAAAAAAGAAAGTTACAATATCTGGGACACATAATGAGGGGACATCGATACGAACTGCTAAGGCTGATAATACAGGGAAAGATGAGGGGAGGAAGGAGTATAGGAAGAAGGAGAGTTTCATGGTTGAAGAATTTAAGGGACTGGTTTATATCCAGTTCTATAGAACTCTTCAGAGCAGCAGTGCATATAGTAAAGATAGTGATGATGATATCCAATCTCCTATTGGGAGACAGCACTTAAAGAAGATGGTTCTTTCACGAAATATCAATATGGTTATGTACTTGATAGGTCAACACTTACAAATTGATGTGTTTTTTATACAATCTACTGCAGAAGTCGTAAATACAATGAGGCAAATGAATATAATTTTCATGGACTGTGTACAAGCATTTATTAAGGTTGATCATAGTGATCATAGTGACATGCTTATTAACTTTATAATAATAAAGTGGTAGACTATATCCACTTGAAATTATTACAGATGTATATGATCGAGTAACTACCAGTGTTAGGACATATGTAGAAGATTGACAAATTTCTGTACAAGTAGGATCAAATTAGAACTTAGTACTAAATTCTTATTTGTTTTCCTTAATTCTGCCTCAAATAATAAGGAAAAACCTTTAGAAAGACAAAATCACCTGGTGTTCAATTCATATGGTATTAGTAGAATATACTGAATAACCCTTTCACTGTGACAGGTTGAAAAATATATTTTGCTCATAATGCTCTTTCTGAGTGATGTCACTGATGAAAAAGAAAAAAAATTAGATGGGGTAGCCAAAGGTGTTGTTTATTTACAAAAAGCAATAATAATCAAATGTTTAGATTCTTCTTGGTGTGGTAAATACCAAAACATGTAGAAAGTACAGTTTTTTAGCAATTTTTGTTGGTTGCTCAGTGTAGGTTGTTCTTTCAGTGCCCTGTCCGATTATCAAATGTTGACGATCATATTGGCAATAATAACCTTATTCAGTATGCACAGGTCAAGCAAATAAAAAAATACTTTCCGGTACTATTTTTTTGTTTTTCAGACCGATTATATACTGCTCAGGAACATATAAGAGCAGTTGATTGCCACCATATTTTTATTATAATCAATAAGGTAACTGCAATTCATTATTGTATTTCAGGTATTCCTATCTTTTTTTTTTCAGTACTTTGCATACTGAAATCATTTTTTGTTGTTAGCTTGTATGTATCTTTTTTGTCAGACCACTTTATACATAAACATTCTTTGGATAACTAAAAATTCATTTCACCTCTTCCCAACTTTTCTGTGAATTTTGGCATGCTTTTCCTGGTCCTCTTCATTGTGCCACATGTATTGGTCTTCTTAACATGTAAAGTGAATAAAGTGTTGTACTTCTGTACCAGTTATGATATGATATGCTATAATGGTAGCACTCCACAGTTTTTTCATATTTGGAGCACCATTGACAATATGAAACAATGGCAATATTAAAATTAATAATAAAAAACAATGAGGTTGTGACATCTAATTGTTCTTTTTATTTACCAAACATAGTTCAAATGTACCCGAGCTAATACCTAAGAAAGCATTTCCTAGGTAAGCAGTTCTTTAGTTGTGAAATGTGCTTGTTCCTAAGTATTGACTTAGAAACTTCCTTTCGATAAGAATTACTTTCAAGTGCAACTGTTTAGGTATCAAAATTCACAAGGAAAATAAATTCCTGCAGCTGGTTGTATACCACGTATCACAAAAAAGAGGTTAAATCTTTGTAAATGGGTATATTTAAAAAACCCTTAAAAGGGCTACATCAAACTAACACGAACGTTTTCGGAATAATAATTCCATCATCAGGTTAAAAAGCCTAAAATAAGTATAAACCATTTAATCAAAGCAAACATGGTTGAAATTTTGACTAAGGTTAAAAAAGCAAAATGGTTATACTTACAGGTTAACATGCTTGAGCCAACAAAATATTAGGGTAAAAACCCTTTAAAGTAAATAGGTTACCAAATATTGTACATATTGTTGTTAATAATAATTGATGTTTAATATTTTATTATTATTTTACTTCAGGTAACATACACCCATGGTAAAATTGAATTGTTTGTATTTGTAGTTAATATAAGACCTCGTTTTTAAATGAAATTGTTTATGACTGCTCGTATGGTAATACGGTTAATATAAGTGAGTCTAATAAATTGAATAAGGGTTAAAAATCTTCTGGCTGAAGAAATTAAAGTTATAACCTATGTAATTAAATTTAAAATGAGAAGGCTGAACTCCTCAGAGACTTGAAAAGAATAAAAGTAGAGGAAATGACTAAAGACGGGGGGAGGGGGAGGAAATAAATGAGTAGTAATATTATGTATAACTAACACTGTTTCATGGTACATTGACATTTTGTTTTCGACACAGTTCATAGGTATCATCCTATTAGTCGTTTTTGTCAAATTCATTTTCTGTTTGATTTTGGATATTTCCGAGAGTCTATTACAAATAGAACTTAAACGCTTCTATTATGTTGTGGAATAGTCTTTCTCATGATCTATAATCCAACATAAACTAATCTTACCACTTTTATCGCTAATTTGCGGGATACCATGGTCAAATATTGAATTAAAAGTAATGTAATTAATAAAACAATTTTTATTGTTTGTCAAACCATATATTTACGGCAACGTTACGAACATAATATTTAAATTATTACTCTTTTGCCGTTTTAAACCATTTGATAAGTTATCAGCGACGACAGTCACTATAAATTATCATAAATGATTCATGTGAACACATTTTATGGTTCCGTAAATACAATCTTCCTTGTAACTTGTTACGCAACTAATTATTCACAAGTTTTCTTTAATTTGTTAGGATTATGTACTTTTAAAATGAATGAATGGAAGATAATAATTATTTTATTTATCATATAATTAACTGGTGCTCTCGGTTCTTGGAGCACTTTTTTCTTTTAATGTTAGACTGGTATCACCAAAGAAAATAAAATAATGATTGCAAGCAATCAAAAAGAAACCTAGATATCAAGATAGTGAGATAGCCTTAGTTTATTTCTTTTCAATTTCTTTTTCTTCTTTTTATGTTGACATGACTCTGTCTGTTTTTCAATGTGCCTCCAGTAAGTTATTGTTATATAGTTTTCGTGGTCTTCCTACTGATCGTCTTCCTATTGTCGTTGTTATTCAGTTTATATGATCGTTGCATTCTCCTCTTCTATTTCTTAGCCAGTTCTTGATATTCTCTACCTTGTATCTACGTCGTATATCTGTACTTCTAACTTTGTCTCATAATGTCTTACCGTCAATTTTTCTAAGTGTTTTCATTTCTGCTGTTTCTAACACCCTGTCCTGTCTGTGTCTGTCCTGTCTGTCTGTGTTTTGTCCTGTCGTTTCTGCCGCATATGTCATTATTGGTCTGATGACTGTTTTGTAAATTTTGACTTCCATTTCTTTCCTGATATTTTTATTTCTGAATATGGTTTCATTCAGGCAGCCTGCGGCTCTGTTTGCTCTATTCACTTGATCCTATACTTCAGTTTAGAGCTTTCCGTAGCTAGATAATGTGATACCTAGATATTTATCCATCACTTGTTCTATTACGTGACCTTCCAGCTCCAATTTTCATCTCAGTAAATTTGTTGTAAACACTGCATGAGTAGATTGCGGGGTGGATTGAGTAGCTCTGCGGTTACCACAGCCTGTCCAAGCCCGGATAATATGTGGAGGTTGATTGGCAAGGTTAGCAACCTACCAATCGTAAACACGAATGATGCCCAAAGAAACAATGTACAGCCTCTTTTCAATTTAATGAATAAAATAATAAAAGACGAAACCGTTTTCAAAGTTGTATACAGAATGAATAACAAACTGGTCACCGTAACCTGCGTAGCTGATGAAGCGGTAATTACAACGGAAACGGAAAATTATCTGCAAAGAAAATTTCATAAATTTCACCAAATAGGTAGCTACCTTATCAAAAATATATGAATAGAGAAGATAAAGTGCATGATCGTAACTGTAACTCGTAACTGTCAACTCGTAACTAAAACAGAACTGTAACAAAACATCATCATGAGACGAGGGTTGTCTTTATAGTTTTGCATATAGCCATAAAGTTTTACATATAGCCATTTTTAAAGTAATACACTTTTGCATACGTTCAAGCCAATTGGTAAAACAGTTATTTCAGTCTTCAGTTCACACCTGCACAATCGGTGTTTTAAAGGCTTCTTCTGGCGACTGGATTGGCCCACGCATTGAATTCTTGATCTTTGGGAACGTGAAAAAGTCATTGGGACTTAGGTAGGGGCTATACAGTGTATGGTTTAACAATTCGACGTTTTGAAGTTCCAAATACTCTATTGTCTTTTGGGCAGTGTGAGCACTTGCATTGACTTGATGTAGGATGATTTTGTGTTGCTTTGTTTTAGTTTCGCGGTAACTTTCGTGCTGGCAAACAAACGGTTATATACCAATCAGAAGTAGATCTTCTAAAGCAATTGTTGCCACATGACCAGATCTTGACACAAAAGTTGCGACGATTTTTTTTACTAACATTTGTTGATTTGCTTATCGTCAAATACCCACCCAGCGGATTGGTGTATATTTTCCGGATCGTAGGAGTAGATCCAAGATTCATCGCTACTAACAATACTATAAACGTTGAGCTTCGTTTGTTGAACCGTTCCAATGTTTTTCGACACCAATTGATGCGAACCGTGTTTTGCTTTTCGCTGAGCAAATGAGGGATCCAACGGAAAACCAACTTCGTAACATCCAGTTCTTCATGTAGGATCTTTTGGATCGAAGTCTTTTACATGCCCAAAGATGTCTCTATCTCCCGGTAGGTTACACGACGGTCATCCTTAACAGGTCTATACTAGTTAATTTAAATATGACAGCGCCCACAAAGACACATCTTTGTTTTAGTTTCAGTTATGTTTATTTTGGACAATACTGTATTTTGCAGGTAAATATAAAATAAAAAAATGGAACTGTCTTTAATTTTGAGCAAAAAAGGTAAAACTGCTATGCAAACAAACATTTCTGCGTAAAATTGCAGTGGACATAAATTATATCAAAAGGATTTACTGTAAATAACTTATTAATACTGTAAAAAGAGATTATAAAAGTTTTTAATTCAATTTAGAAATTACTTTCGTACCTTTTATGCCGGACCGGAGAGTGAGTCATTAGCTGTCGACTGTCTAGAATCCAAAACGGACGGAAATTCATGAAATATACCTACTTTATATATTAAATTGCAAGAAATGTCAAGAAGCCACAAAAAATAGCTTTATATTAATCTTCAATTAGTATCAATTTGCTCGAAAATTAATAAGGTTTTTCTTTTTTTTTTCAGATAATGTAAGAAAGAAAACCATCATTCTAGGAAACTACTTATTTGATCAAGTTGTAATGTGATAATGTAGTGAGAACTTCTAATCTACTTTTCATATTTGTGTTCAGTGAACAGTTACAATGTCCTTCTTTAATAATATTAAAAAGGTACTCCACTTTGGTGGCAACGATGCGAAGAAGAAAAAAGTGTATAACAATGTGCGCATGGAGTGCGATCCGGAGGAGTTTTGGGACATGATAGGGGAATTGGGCGACGGAGCGTATGGAAAAGTGTACAAGGCTCAACACAAACACACTGGGCAGTTGGCAGCTGCTAAGATGTGTCGGTTAGACGGCGAAGACGACTTGTCGGATTTCATGATTGAAATCGACATTTTGTCCGAAATTAAACATACAAATATAGTAGAATTGCATGAAGCATTTCAAAAGGAGCAGCAGTTGTGGTTGCTCATCGAGTACTGTGATGGAGGCGCGTTGGACAGTATTATGACTGAATTAGAGAAGCCCCTCAATGAACTGCAGATTGCGTACGTGTGCCAAAATATGTGTAAGGGACTGCAATTTTTACATAAGTCGCATGTTATCCACAGAGATTTAAAGGCTGGAAATGTTTTACTCACCATGGCTGGAGGAGTCAAGTTAGGTAAGTGATTTTGTAATAGAAAGTATAAAGTATGTATATATATATATATATATAATATATATATATATAATATATATATATATATATATATATATATATATATACAGTGTAGGTAAAATTTTAAGGTCGGTATGGTAAAATTTAACAGTATATCTAACGCAGATATAAAATCATATTTTCAGCGAATTAGACAAAGATAAGAATCATATTTCCCCTTCGTCTCCCCTCCTAAAATTCTTTTAACACTCATTGGCCATTGCCCATTAGTGAGACGATTAGTTCCGATCAGATATTCTCTGGTTCCGATCCTAATATAGCTAAAAAACTAGAGGTGGGTCCTCTCGTTTTTTTAATTTTTATCGGAACCGTTTTTCGTAAACTGTAACTAGTTGATTGTTTACCAGTATTCAAATTATCGAGTACACAAACATATCGATACATTTTTGGCAAAGTAACGTAAGTTACCAAAAACGATTTGTAGAAAAAACAATTTTTTAATTCAACCTGCTTAAACTTATTTAAATTATGACTGAAAAAACTTGTCCTAAAAAAGTTTTAAAGTAAATCTAGGTTTACTACACTCTTTCAGTACCTTTTTAACAGTAATAGCATTAGTTTAATTGAAAAACATTATTTTCGCCAAAAATGTCACTTACGTTACTTTGCCAAAAATGTATCGATATTGGCTATTATCGTTTATGTGTATATATATAAGTACTTATAAGTGTGCTTATAAGTATTAAAATAAAAGAACCTAACGAAGGATATATTTATTGTAACTTGAAAAATAAATTAAATAATACAAATGGTACTTAAATACTTACATTTATATTACACATTATTAAATCGCGAATCGTCTAAATTGACATTTAAAAACATAAGTTTTTCCACCTTTCTTGTTAATCGCGTTCTTCTTTTATTTAAAATTATACCAGATGTTAAACATGTGTTCACAAGGAAAAGATTTTGTTACAATACTACAACATTTTATGAATATAGTGGTTAAGTTACGATATACATGGCGATGGTTTTTTCACCACGGTAATGGACAGTTCCAATCTCCGTTCGAAATTGTTTGTGGGTAATATCTCATCAGACAATTACATGTCGACTTCTTTTATACCTCTCGATACAGGTGTATGTTTATATGAGTCATGTCCAATTAATTCATCAAAAATACACCATGGACTTAAGTCATCTTTATCAGTTTCTTTTTCTTGGACTGATTGATTTTCAAGATTTACTAAACTTTTCGTTTTATCCGTTTTCCATAGTTAAAGAACCAGCTTTTAAAAAGTTTGCAGGGTAGATTCCTGGATATAAACCGCCAACAAGAAAAACTTTGTCAGGTTCATTACTTCAGGAATGTTATGTCAAAAGTGAGCAAATTATTAGATCACAAGTTGTTAAAGAAGTAGAAAATATCTGTATTACTACTGACCTCTGGACATCTGGAGTAACTGAGAGTTACTTCGCATTAACAGGACAATATTTAACCGAAAATTTAGTATTCAAAACTTTTTTATTAGGCTGCTGCCATTTTTCTGGAAACCATAATCCAGAAAACAGCGATTACTGAAATTATTAATCAGTGGGGTCTAAAACGAAAAGTAAATTTTGCAGTAACTGATAATTCCTCAAATATGGTCAAAGCTATTAAATATGTTTTGTTTTATGATGATTGTGATTTATGATGATGATTAAATTTATTGGTGGGGGACGCACTTAAATGCTGTCGTGTACAAATAGATAAAATAAAAAGTCCTTTTTTCGACAATTCTGCAAAAAAACACATTTCAAAAAAGTACCTTATCTTCAGAAAGGCTTTTAAAGTATTAATTACAGCAGAACACAGTTCCCAAACGGCCAATCCAAGACGTCGAAACTAGGTAGAACTTCACCTATTACATGTTAAAAAGAATGACCGAGTTAGAAGAGGCAACCCGTTCCACATTGGTATTAAATAATACAGACTTAGACTTAAACCTAATCTAAATAAAGAACACTGGATTATTTGTTCTCAACTTTCCCAAATTTTACGGCCGTTTAAAGAAATAACAAGTACAATGAGTGACCAAAAATACTTGAATGCTAGTTCAGTGATTGTTATGGTACGCTGCCTGCAAGAATCTTGCAATAAAATTTTAGCAAAAGGCATACTTACATCCATAGTATCCGACATAGTACAATTACTAATATCGGGTTTAGCAAAAAGATTTAGAGGGATAGAACAGAGTGGCACATTGTCATTATGTACATTTATGGATTCACGATTTAAAGTGCAGAACAAGACAAAAAGTTAAGAAGCTGGTTACTTCTATAATTAACGAACAAGATGATTGTACTATTGAAAATCAACCAGTACAAGAAAAAGAAACCAATAAATATGACTTAAGTCCATGGTGTATTTTTGATCAATTAATTGGAGATGACTCATCTACACGTACACCTGCATCGAGAGTCCATTACAAGAAAAACCTATGTTTTTATGTCAATTTAGACTATTCGCGATTTAATAATAACGTGTAATGTAAATGTAAGTCCGATTTACTATTTGTATTGTTTAGTTTATTTTTCAAGTTATAATAAATACATCATTAGGTAGTTTCTTTCACTTCAAAAGATATACACATAAACGATAATAGCCGTTATGTTTGTTTATGTAGGTACTCGCTTACTTGAAACTACTTTTAAACAATCATAGTTACTTGTTTATGAAAATTAAAATTTTTAAATGCTTTTTAGCATTTAAAAATGCTTAAATGCTTTTTAGCATTTAAAAAAATTTAAATTTTTTTGGAATCCTGAGAAAACTAACAAATATTTTTGAAAAATTTAAATGCAGAATGAAAGATTACATTATTACCGAGGGCCGAAAGTCCCTTAGAATAAACAAAAAGTTTTTTTAATGAGATATTTAAAATTAAAAATCACACTAAATTTTGTTTTTTTTTCATCCCTATAACTTATTAAAATAAACATTATAGAAGTTTTCAGGGACTTTCGGCTCTCGGTAATAATGTATTGTTTCATTCTGCGTTTAAATTTTTCAAAAATATTTATTAGTTTTCTCAGGATTCGAAAAAAATGAATGCTTTTAAAAAACATTGGCCCGAAATTTTCCTCCTACGCTCTTAACGATAAACTAGCACGACCCACCTCTACTTCTCGTTACTCGATCTTTAAGACCAGACGACTATCTAGACTAGACGTTGCCAAAGAATTAGTGGATGAATATTTTTTAATGTGGCGTTATTGTATGCATGTTTAATTGTTTATTATTTCATATTGGGAAATTATTTTGATGTTTAGATTTTTAGTTCGGAAATCGTACTTAAAATACGAAACATTAATAAATTTTATTTATATAAAACGATTTCCAAAATGGAAATCAAAATGTTATATTACAATTATTGTAAAGAAAACTTGTGGCATATTCCCAATAAAAAAACAGTAACCTGTCATTTAAATCAATTTCGCCCAAATTTGATTATCTTGAGCATTTTATCTTCTTGATAGAACATTGTTCAAATGCAAAAAAAAGACAACAGGTCAAATAAAACCAATAAGTTTGGCAACGTTGAATTTCCCCTTTTTTAATATTTCCATTCGGCGATATAAAGGGCGTACCTAATATACCTCTCTCTTTTTAAACAGCTGTTTCTCACTCCATCTCACGTAAGGTCCATACCGACCATAAAATTTTTCCTACACTGTATATATATATACAGTGTAGGAAAAATTTTATGGTCGGTATGGACCTTACGTGAGATGGAGTGAGAAACAGCTGTTTAAAAAGAGAGAGGTATATTAGGTACGCCCTTTATATCGCCGAATGGAAATATTAAAAAAGGGGAAATTCAACGTTGCCAAACTTATTGGTTTTATTTGACCTGTTGTCTTTTTTGCATTTGAACAATGTTCTATCAAGAAGATAAAATGCTCAAGATAATCAAATTTGGGCGAAATTGATTTAAATGGCAGGTTACTGTTTTTTTTATTGGGAATATGCCACAAGTTTTCTTTACAATAATTGTAATATAACATTTTGATTTCCATTTCGGAAATCGTTTTATATAAATAAAATTTATTAATGTTTCGTATTTTAAGTACGATTTCCGAACTAAAAATCTAAACATCAAAATAATTTCCCAATATGAAATAATAAACAATTAAACATGCATACAATAACGCCAAATTAAAAAATATTCATACACTAATTTATTTGGCAACGTCTAGTCTAGATAGTCGTTTGGCCACCGTTGTTCGGTGGTTTGGTCAAAAGATCGAGTAACGAGAAGTAGAGGTGGGTCGTGCTAGTTTATCGTTAAGAGCGTAGGTGCAAAATTCCGGGTCAATGTTTTTTAAATGCATTCATTTTTTTCGAATCCTGAGAAAACTAATAAATATTTTTGAAAAAATTAAACGCAAAATGAAACAATACATTATTACCGAGAGCTGAAAGTCCCTGAAAACTTCTATAATGTGTATTTTAATAAGTTATAGGGATGAAAAAAAAAACAAAATTTAGTGTGATTTTTAATTTCAAATATCTCATTAAAAAAACTTTTTGTTTATTCTAAGGGACCTTCGGCCCTCGGTAATAATGTAATCTTTTATTCTGCATTTAAATTTTTCAAAAATATTTGTTAGTTTTCTCAGGATTCCAAATAAATTTTAATTTTTTTGAATGCTAAAAAGCATTTAAAAATTTTAATTTTTATAAACAAGTAACTATGATTGTTTAAAAGTAGTTTCAAGTAAGATAGTACCTACATAAACAAACATAACGGCTATTATCGTTTATGTGTATATCTTTTGAAGTGAAAGAAACTACCTAATGATATATTTATTATAACTTGAAAAATAAACTAAACAATCATCATCATCATATAACGGGGGTCCTACGGCGATTGCCGCTTCCCGCATTTCAGCCTCCATCTTTTCCTATCTCTCCAATCTCCCTCTTCTAAGCCTCTAGATTGCATTGTTTTTGTAAT